ATCCGCAGTCCCGCACCCAACCGGATATCACGGGCCGGATCTCGCCCAATATCGGTAACAGACCAGTAATTAACGAGAAAGGAGAATTTTTACCCTTTTTAGAAATGTACTAGAGATGAAACTCTCCTACTATATAAAGGGGAAACTTTTATTTCAGTAGGACACATTGTAACACGCATACCAAGGCAATACAATTTCATTTCTCTGCTTTCTAGTTGTTGCAAAGTCCTTATTTTATTTTTGTTCTTTGTTCTTGATTGGCTTCGACCCAAGGTGTGACGACCCAAAGGGTCATCACCGGATTTCTCTCTTTTTCCGTGCTTTCGAGGCCTTGAAAACCTCACCTTTAGTTGCCTCGATTTGCGTGCGCAGTCCGGGCGCGTAGCCGGAAAGATTATATGTTAAATTCTGTACAAAATTTCAAAATGTGGCTTTAAAATGATTAAAGTTGACTTTGGTCAACATTTTTGGTAAACGGATCCGGACCCGTGATTTGACGGTCCCGGAGGGTCCGTAGGAAAATATGGGACTCGGGCATATGCCCGAAGTTGAATTCCGAGGTCTAGAGCCCGGGAAAAGAATTTTTCTGTTTAATTATTTTTCTGAAATTATTAAGGAAAATGGAAATGAAAATTGATTTAAAGACTATGGTATCGGGCTCGTATTTTAGTTCCGACGCCCGGTACAGGTCTTAAATATGTTTTAAGCGCTTTCTGTGAAGTTTGGTCGAAATCGGACGTCATTTGACGTGTTTCGGACCTAAATATCTAAAATTTGAAGTTATGAACTTGAAATGAAAAATGATGATTTTGAGGTTTGATTCATTGATTTTGATGTTATTTTGGCGATTTGATCGCTGACTAAGTTCGTAGGTGTTATTGAGTTAGTGTGTGTGTTTGGTTGGGAGCCCCGAGGGCTCGGGAGTGATTCGGAGGTGGTTCGGGGTAGTTTTACACTTAGAAAACACATCTGATTTTTCATGTTGTTCCAGACCAGATTTTGTTCTTCGCGAACGCAACCCCCCCTTCGCGTTCGCATAGCTCTGACATTTCTCCTTCCGCGTTCGCGTCCCTCCATCGCGTTCGCATAGCTTTATACCCCTCTTCAACGCTTTCGCATACCTCCCCTCGCGAACGCGTAGGCCAAACCTGGACCCCCCCCCCCCCAGTTTCCTTCTATGCGTTCGCATAGCACCATCGCGAACGCGTAGAGCATCAAACCAGCCCTCCTTCGCGAACGCGAGACTGAGTCGACGCATAGAACAAAAAGGCTTCAGTGATTTTTTTTAAAACAGAACATTTCATTACGGGAATTCTTCACTTCTTCTCACGAGTTCTCTTCTCCATCAAGCCTTAGGACTCCATTGAAGCTCCCCTCTTCCAAGACTTTTTGGGTAAGTAATTCCCCACCTAATTCCTTCATTTTTCTTCACCAATTAGTGAATTTCTAGGCCTAAAAACATGAAATCAAAGTAGAAATTAGGGGTTTTGGGTAGAGTTAGGGTTTTGAGAATTTTGGGTGATTCAACCTCAATTTGGGGTCGAATCTTAAAACAAATTATATATTTGAACTCGTGGGGTTATGGGTGATTGGGTTTTGGTCCGAGCCTCGTGTTTGGACCATGTGGGCCCGGTGTCTAAATTTGGAATTTTTGGAAGAATGTTACGAAACTCATTTCTAGGCTATGGGATTATGTTGTTGGGCCCTAATTGATATTATTGAATTAATTATGCCTAGATATCATTGTTTCGGAGTCGGATTGTAGAGGAAAGGCGGTATTTGAGGATTGATTGCTATTCTTTGGACCGAGGTAAGTGTTTGATCTAACTTTGGCTTGAGGGAATAGGATTAGAGTATTATTTGCTAATTGCTAAATGTTGAGTACGGTGTATAGGCATGGTGACGAGTATCTATACACCGGTGTCTAGCATGACCGTGAGTCCTTACTTGTGCTTATGTGGGATTCCGTAGTGACTCTTCCTTGTTTAATTGATGGATTCGATATAATGTGAACGATATGAAGAGAAAATATGATTTGTAAACTCCTTGGAGTGTTGGCTCGAAATATGACATGATTAGGACGTAGGAAATGAACGAAAGAGGAAGAGATGTAATTACTCCGTTGCCGGGACGAGTAAGTGATTGTTGTTGCTCCCTTGCCGGGAATTAACTGTTTATTTGTATTCTCCCTTGCCGCGCCGACCACTTATATATTATGATATGGGATCGTGTGGCACGCCGACCACTTATATATTATGAAATGGGATCGTGTGGCACGCCGACCACTTATATATATCATGATATGGGATTGTGCGGCACGCCGACCACTTATATATTATGAAATGGGATCGTGTGGCACGCCGACCACTTATATATATCATGAAATGGGATCGTGTGGCACGCCGACCACGTATTCTGTGTTAGAAGAGATTTGGTTGTAGTTATCCTTATTTGTTCCTACCGTTCTATCTTATCTGTTATTCCCAAAAGTATGCTCCCCTCCCAGTCTTAGTTATTACTTTCCGCTGTTTTTTTTTTTTTGTAGTACTTGTATATAAATATCTGCACAGGTTGACTTGGTAGTCCTGTCTAGCCTCGTCACTACTTCGCCGGGGTTAGGTCAGGCACTTACCAGCACATGGGGTCGTTTGTGCTGATGCTACACTTCTGTGCTTTTTGCACAGATTACGGTACCGGAGCAGCTCTTGGACCACAGCAGTAGTTGATCGGGAGCCCTCTTCAGTCCGGAGACTTACGAGGTAGCCTAGCTGGTGTTCGCAGGCCGAAGTCCCTTTCCATATTTTCTGTTTGTTTTCATTGTACCGAGACAGACATTATGTATTTTTCTATTCAGACTTATTTGTAGCACTCTTTAGTAGTTCGTGAGATAGCGACTCCAGTCTTGGGTAGTGAAATATTAGACTTCCGCATTTTGGGTTTTCAGTTATTTATGTTTTAAAAGACTTCCGCATTTATTTAAAGGCTCGGTATTTTATTATTGTTATGTTGTTATCCGAAAATATTTAAATGTTTGGCTTGCCTAGCTCCAACAGTAGGCGCCATCACGACTCCCGATGGTGAGAAATCCGGGTCGTGACACAAGGACCCTACCGAGGGCAGAAATTATTGCCCAATCCAAGTCCAAGCTGGTCCATAACGTTACGACTGGTTTGATTATTCATTGTGTCTTTAATTCATTTATCTAATATTATTGATTATTCGTGTTGAATCTATTCGCATATCCTTAAATCGCATACAGATTTAATTATTTTCCGTTTTTAAGGGTAAACACCTTCCATGAACCACACCATTACGGTGTCTTTGTTTATTTTTATTGGTACGTAGACACGCATCTATTGGGCCATATCCGTTCGTAATACAAGTTAATTCACGCTCCTGGAAGATGTGTTAAACACGCATAGTGCCACTTTAGCAGCTGGTGTTTAATTGGTACACTTTTAACTAGCTTTAAGTGCTCAATAGGTAAAATTCTTTGATAAAATGTCTAAGTGGAAAATATGAATTAAGCTTAAGGAGTTGTTTATATATTTGGCCCTTTATACAATAAATAAGACTTATTCGGAGTAAATTGGTTGTAAAACATAAAAGAAGTATACTTAATGAAGTAAGATCTCAACAAATTCATATTCTTTATTTTATACTTATAGAAGCAAAACTTATGCAGTAATCAAATTGTAAGCCTACAAAGGACCTATGCAAAAATAAGTCGTTTTTTTACCTTTGTAAAGGAAGAGGCGGAGCCAAGATTTCAACTTTATGGATTCTGAATATTAGATCGACGATAACTTTACGGGTTCTAACTTTAGTATTTTGACATATTTAATGAATTTTTTAACATACGTACATATTTAAGTACTAAAAGTTATTGAATTCGGCCGAACTCATACCTAGCTTCTAGCTCCGCCTCCTGGGTAAAGGAAGTGTAGTATAGTCAACGAACAAAATCTTGTGTCACGACCCAATCTTAGGAAGCTTGGACTAATCTGCTACGTCCGTGAATATAATGGTCTATGCCTCTGGATTAGGTCAGGTGTCACGAGGCTGGTCTCTCCAAAGATCCAGCTTTACCAAAAACATGGAGGAAAAGGTGGAAATTATCCCCAAAATAGGGAATAAGCTAGTGGTTCATAGGGTCTCAAGTCAGTAATAACTCCAAGGCAGTTGTGAGTTGTGACCCTCTTCATCCTACCAAAACAACTAAGCATCAATTGCATACCAAAGTGCGTCATTTAAATTCCAACAACCATCAAAAGAAAAAGATATAAGAGTTTCACATGTTCTTTATTCTTTTTTCTATGTTAATATTATTAAGTTTTTATCATGTAAAATTCTAAAAGTAAAATAGTAATGTTGATTACTAATTTTTAAATATAAAAAATAGTGAAAATTTAAAGGATATTGCAGATAAAATAGGACACCTTTCCCAACGTATTCAGGCTTAGTAAAATGTGGTTAAGATATTATGTGACCAGGGGCAGATTTAGGAGCGGAAGGGTGTTCACCCGAACCCTCTTCGTCAGAAAAATACACTATATATAGGGTAAAATTCAGTTTGTACTTCTATATATTATATTTTGAATCTCCTTGACACAATCCAAAAGTATAGCTCAATGGTGAAGGGAGTTCAAAATTTTTATTTCTTCTAATTTTTTCAACTTTTTTCTTTTTTGACCCCCTTAGCGGAAATTCTGCCTCCGCCAAGATAATGTTTTTCTAGTGGCACAAAAATAAAGGGAACAAGAGTACACAGAACCATATACCGTCCAATAATATAATATGGTCATTGCGCACAGTCACCAATAGCTGCCGTCGCCTTCACGAGACCTTTATTTCAGCCCTCTTCCCCTGTGATTGCTCTGTTTCTCATGCATGACTCTAACTTTTAGGGATTCTCTTTTGACCTTGTAAATTAACCAGGGAAAAAACAAATATTAATTTTTTACATATATATCCTACTCTCTCCAAATATTAACAAATCACCCGCAAATATAGAAGAAATCAAAATTTATTCAGTCTCCAACGACCTCATTTTCACGGAAACGTAATCCCAACTCAATGTTTCTTACGCCCTTGCACCAAATAAGTAGGAATTTCAATTCATAACTTCATTACCATAGAGACTTCTTTGAAAGCTACTTTTTTTGCTTCACTGTTTTCATTAAACTCACACAAAGCAACCAAACAATGTTCACTACTTCTTCTTCTCCTCCTCCTCCTCCTCCTCCTCCTCTTCTTAGAGAGAACTTCATCCATAGCATTCTATCATATGATAGCAACATAATGCTTGCAGCAATCATATTACTGCTTTTTGTAATTCTCTTTGTTTTACTTCTGCACATTTATGCCAAGTGGTTCTTGGTCCAAGCTCGTCATAGGAGTGGAAACTCTGTTTCTGTTTCTCATGTTACCACGACCCCTGCAAGTAAGGGTCTCTCAAGATCAGCTATTTCTTCAATTCCTTTGTCCAATGAGCAGCAGGAGAAAGGATTAGAGTGTATAATATGTCTGAGTTTGTTCGAAGATGAACAAGTTTGCAGGAAGTTACCCAAGTGTAGCCATGCATTCCATGTCGATTGCATTGACATGTGGCTATATTCTCATTCCACATGTCCCATATGTCGAGCACCTGTCCTCAATGATCTAAACAACAAGACTACTCTTGAATCTAGTAACCAAGAATTAATGACATCTTCTTTGGCTGATCAAGAAGAATCAATCTCTACATTAGAGATTATTGTTGATGTTCCAATTAATGATCGATCAGAGAATGAGAATAGCTTAAACGTGGATGATCCATTGTCCGTGACTTCTTTGGCTGGTTCACTAAAGAGAATGCTGAGCAGAAGCACATCTGAAAGAAGAAAAGCTCCACCATCTGCGAATGTTAATTAACTAGTCTTTATAAAATTGTTAGATTTGAGAGAAGGAGAAGTTCTCTAGTATTTGTACAGATCCAAGAAATAGGTAAACTTAACAATGTTAGTACTAAAAAAACTGAAGGAGAGAGAGAGAGTAGTTAATTAGTGATCAGCCATTCAGCTTTGTTTCTATAGATTCTCGAAATTCAGCTAAGTATCGGTCAAATCTGAATTCGATGCGATTTTCTTTACGCACACAACCGCCCCCACCAAGAGCTAAATTTAGAACATGTATGTGTATAGGATAAAATTGATTTATATTAAATGATCGAATGATTGCATGCCACGTGGAACCAGAGGCAGATAAAAGATGAATCGAGTAAGAATAGAAGCCGAGCACAACAACTGCAGTTGGTATCGGATAGATTCCGAAGGGAACATAATCAACGGAAGCAAAACGAATGTTTGTCATCAGATGACATTTAATGAAAAATTTGAGGTCATTCCGGGTTGATTTGATATGGTTCGGCACGAGTTTTGGAAGTTAAAATTTCAAAAGTTTATAGAGTTTGATTTGAGGTGCGATTCGCGATTTTGATGTTTATGTGTGATTTGAGGCCTCGAGTAGATCCAAGTTATATTTTGGAACTTTTTGGCATGTTCGGACGGGGTCGTTTTTGATGTTTCGACGTTGTTTCTTCAAGCATAAATGATACCACATTACTAAAATAAGCTCTAATTACCATTTTTATTGAAGCATTAGATCCGTATCGTAATTACAGAGCCATAGCAAAAAGAATCGTTAAATTTGGACATCATATGGGGGAGTTATGCTCATTTTCAAAAATGACAGATGAAAATGCGCAGGTGTGACTTTTTGGGTTTTGGTATTTTTAGCATATCGTGAGTTCTAGAGCTACAATTGAGGTAATTTTCACGGTGTTCTTCTCGTATTTTCATAGGGGTCGGTATCTATTCTTAATTTTTATATTTTAACATGATTCCAAGAGTTCATTTGTGAATTAATCCATGTTTTGATTGGAGAATTGGAGAGTTTTATCAAAAACTTTTCTAAAGAGAATAATTGGGTTTTGAATATCGATTCAGAGTCGTAATTGGATGAAATAAGTACAGTTGGACTCGTAATTGAATGGGTTATCGGAATTTTGGAATTTTTTCGGGTTCTGAGGTGCGGATGCGGGTTTGACTTTTTGGTTGACTTTGAGTAAATGTGTAAATATTAGACCTTTATCAATAGGGATTGTTTTCTTAGGCATTATTTGATGTATTTAAGTTGCTTTTGGATAGTTTCGAGCCGTTCGAAGGTTGTTGCGCGCGGTGTGACATTTTTAGAGCATTGCTTGTCCTTCTCGGTATTGAATTTGGCTTGTTCGAAGTAAGTAACATATCTAAACTTGGATTTGATGGTATTTACCCCTGGGAACTATATTATAAGAGATGTATTGAGGTGACATACATGCTAGGTTACGAGTGTGTGGGCGTGCACCGGAGAAATCATGATTCTAGTTGGCTATTAGATTATGACCGAACTTGTTTTGCTGAAATCTTGTTACATCCATGTTCTCCCTACTTGTTTGATTGTATGAGCTGTGAATCATGTTAGAAATCATGTGTAGGATACATGCTTATCCGGTTGATACCCAATGAGGCTATCTCTGTTGTATTGAGTTATCTACTCTAACTGTAATTATATACTCAGTGATGATTCTTCATTGCATATCATATCTCAGCATCTATTCATCATTCATTGTTACATCACTTATTATCATTGTTTGGGCTGAGTGGTACGAGATTTATGAGCCTTTGAGACTTGAGAGATTGATGACTGCGGTGGGCCTGAGAACTGTGTTGTGAGTGTTATTTATGGGATAGGGCTGCACGTCGTAGCATGCCTTATTAGCTATTTATGGGATCGGGCTGCATCCCGTAGCAGGCCTTATCGCCTTATTTATTATTAAGGGATCAGACTGCACGCGCGCAGCAGTCCATATTGGCTTTATATTAGCGCTTGGGCAAGATCCGCCCCTCCGGAGTTTAACATACCAACAGTGAGCGCAGGTACTGTATAGTACTGAGTGATTGTGTGTTATGAGTGGGAGTTTGAGATAGACAACTTGAGTATGTTTTAGGGTGAGAGTACCTTGGAATATCACCGTGAAATCATTCATTTGACATGCATACTTGGCATGTAGGCATAGAGATGCCTTTGCCTCATGCTATACGGTATTGTGGCATTCATGATTTGACATGTACATTTGAGATGTGTATTCCTCATGCTAGACGGTATGTGATAATTGATGACTTTACATGCATATTGATATGTAAGCCTAGAGATGTACTTTTCTCATGTTATTTGATAATGAATTATCTTATCTGTTATAGAAAGTTTGGGAAAAATCACAGTTTTCTAATATACTCATTTTGGTAATTCCGGTGAAAGATTTAGGTTTTGTTATACCGGAAAGGCATGTCAATTCTTCTATAATTGTGAATGAGCTGAGCATGAGATCTTTTGAGTTATTACATGTATTGCGTTCATTATATTCTTATGAGTTGTTTTCGGCTATTGGTGTTGGACTCTGACCATTTTCCCGAGCTCGTCACCGCTTCCAATCTAAGGTTAGGTTTGTTACTTATTGAGTACATGAGGTAGGTTGTACTCATTCTACACTTCTGCACCTTACGTGCAGATTTTGGAGCTGGTGTTGTTGTGTATGGCGGGAGCTGCCACTGAAGATGTACCTATGTTCCGATTATAGTTGCTCTTGTTCTTGGTGGCTTTAGATTTATAAATCTGTTTATATATATTTCGAACATATGATGTATTTATTTCGTACTAGCTTTGTAAACTCTATTTCTTAGAAGCTGATGATTTGTATTACCAATCCTTGAGACTTTTGTATAAAAGTTCAGCTATTTCATTATTTTTTTCTCAATAAATCTCATTTGAACTGGATTATTGTTAATTGGCTTACCTAGCATGTTGGGTTAGGTGTCATCACGACAAATGGATTTTGGGTCGTGACACTGTGCCATTTGATTTGATATCTTGAGTACATTTTCTCACACTATGAAAGTTCTGCTTTTACCATAGTAGTTTGATGGTCATCGTCTTTAAGTTAAGGATTAGTTGTGATATTGAGAAATATTAACTGTAATTTTGTCTAGTAATCATTTATTGCTTCACATATTGTTCTTGTATTCTTCTCTGTTATATTCTAGTATTGTTTCTATTGCAATTCTACTGCACAGGTTATATTATCGAGTATCTTTTAACTAAAAACCCTCGTCACTACTTCACCGAAGTTAGCCAAGACGCTTACTAGGTACACGGGGTCGGTTATACTCATACTACACTTCAGCACCTTGCGTGCAGATCTTGGAGCTAAGATACGGTGGATGCCAGGAGCTAGCACTGAAGATGTACCTGTCTTCCAGATTTAGCTACCACTTGTCCCTGGCTAATTTTAGAGTTGAATTCTGTTTATTTACATTTCAAATAGAAGTTATATTTATTTCATACCAGTTTTTGCAAAAATCCAGTCTTAGTAGCTCATGACTTGTACTGCCAGTCATTGGAATATTGTATGGAATTCAGTTATATCATTTGTTGATCACTTTTATTTATTAGAACTGTATTGACTGTTATTGTGCTTACTTAGTGGGTTGGGATATGCATTAACATGTCTAGTTGAATTTTAGGTTGTGACATTAGACCTGAATCCAAAAAAAAGCATATGCGAACTTCTAATATTATACATCAAGTTTGCTCAAATAATTCTTATTTCTACCAAGACGTCCTGGTTTTATGGGTTAAAATGACATTAGACCTGAATCCAAAACAAAGCATATGCGAACTTCTAATATTATACATCAAGTTTGCTCAAATAATTCTTATTTCTACCAAGACGTCCTGGTTTTATGGGTTAAAATGGAATTGGTTCAGAAGCTTTTATCATATTTAAAAGATCAAAGGATAAATATATATGAGAAGATATTGACATAGGCCGCTTTTATAGCTTAAGCCAATTTAAAGAAAATAGAAGAACAATAATAGTTGTTCCAGTTTTAAAATGAGAAGCTTAATATATTTCAAGAGCCTCACATACTACTTAAATTGATTAGCACATAGATGTTTAACCAAAAAATAAAATTCTCAGTCAAAGCCTATATTTAGAAGAAAACGGGTTACTGATAACTAAGTTTTACTTCACTTCCACGACAATCTATTTGGAAAATAGTAAAAATTATAGAGAGAATTAACAAAGAGAAATAAGGAATAAATTGACAGTCAATCCCTAAAATCAAGGTTGAAAACTTTGATAAAGCAGAGAATTATAGAATGTATTTTAGTAGTACTTGGAACTTGTCCTTAAAAATAAAATTCTTTATCCTTATATAGGAGCGTACAATTATAACATTTTCAACACTTATTTCGAATCCATTATGAGCATTAATTGTATTGATTGCTGGTTATCATAGGTAACCATAACTGACGTATTTATAGCTATAAATGCCATATAATGGCTCCGATTCCCCTTTCTTATTTACTTCTGGTTCGTGTATTTTCCCTTTTTTTTACCTTTATTCATTCCGTTCCCGCCTCTTCTTTGACAATTGTCAGGCCCAATCCTCTGTTCTGTACTGTCTCGTGGGTGTTTTCCCCGTACCTTCCTTGTATTCTTAATTTTGATAATTGAGAGTGCCACTTGTTGCTATGCCATTATTCTACGCGTCATGCTTTGTCAGTTTACTAACATTCCACGTGTAATGTCTTTTTTCCACAAATACAGATAGAACCCCACTTTCTGTAAGTTTTTATGGCGGGAATTCTTTGCCGCCGTTTTTCGAGTGTCATCATATCTCCTTAAGAATCGACGTGACATACGTCACGTCAATTTAATGCCCATGCCACATGGCTTCTAATGATTGGCTCTGTAGTTTTTCAACGCTTTTTAGGGTTTTTCTATGGCTGTGTCAGTCACGAAGTGATGGTTCCATTATAACGCTTAATAATGACTAAATTTAACGATGGTAGTGTCTTCTTATAAATACTTCATTCCTTTTTGATCTCTTGGAGTCTTCCCACCACATTGCTTCTTCTTTGTATATCTGCGTCCTTCCTTTCCTATTCCTGTGGACAATAATGTCTTCTTCTACACCTGACCCCCGTAAGGTTGTGATTGTCGACGAACTTGTTCCTTCTACTGCTCCTACTAGAAGTAGGAGAGGTGGTATACTTTTTAGTCTTGGTTCACTATCTAATCGTGGTTCTTCTTCCTAGGGTAGTGCCGCTAAGCCATCTTCTTCTAGGCCTAGGGCCCC